AGATATATGGAGATATGTATATGTATACATACACACAGACACTGACACAGAGACAGACAGGCACACAGACACAGACAAAGACACAGACACATACACACACACACATATATATATATATATAAACAGATGTATATAGATACATACATATATATATATATATATATATATATATAAATATATATATATATATATATATATATATATATATATATATATATTAATTTTAATTTATGTATTTGTATTTGCATTCACCTGTATCCAGTTATATATATCTGTACATATTTTAATCGGAATTGGTAAGCTAGAATGGCTATACTATAACTTCATAATGTGCAGCGGAGTGTATAATTTGCAAGACGCGTAGTTTTCTGGATGCACTAAATAGTGCTGCAATCTTCACAATACCTATTGTAGAGAAATAGCCCAACAAAACACCTATTGAGCCCTGTTCTGATTCCAAAAATGCACTATTGCCAGCCACCAGTGACCAGGGCCAAGGTAAATAACAAATACATAATACAATACATCCCATCTTCATAGCTTTCTAAATTGAAACATCTTCAATCTTTTTTAAAGGAGAATGTGTACTTCAAGAGACCTGAAAATAGTGTACATAAAAATTCTATTTGTACCACAAAATACATATGCCACGGTTATCTTGGCATAAAGATCTACATAATAAACGTGTATATAACGCGCTCACTTTATGATTTTAAACGTTAAGCTGAAAACACGTGGTGTCGTTTTGTGGAAAAAAAAGTGACAATGAAAACTGATGACATGAGTTCAGACTTCAAACTCCAGTGACCAGTCTCCAGAGTATTATGCATATTTTATTTTATTTATAATATCATAAATATGTCTATGTAGTCATATCGATCATAATTTACTTTTTCTACTTCAAAAGTAATAGAGGTACAGGGGCTAGATAGACTTTTACCTGCAAAGTGCACACCTTGTCCGTGCATTATATACCACTACTAGATCAAAAATGGTCGAGAAGGTCACCGAATCGACGCCTACCACTGACCGTGATGACATTTTGTTGAACACAATCCGTGAGGGTATTATCGGCGATGGTGCACTTGCTGGTATGTTTCTTGCCGTGTATGCATTGTATGCTACGCGTTTCCTCTAGGTCGGTGTATTGGTTGTTATAGATTATGGTACTTTGTTCAGTGTGCATGTTGCGATATCTACGAACGGTTTTGGGCTTTTTTTAAATCGTTTATCACCCAAGGTGCTTCTTGTATCTCTGTTGACAGGTTCATTGCTTTCCAATATCTCCTGTAATGGTACATCTACTACTTTGCTGACAGTTTATCATGTACATCATTGGTGCCCTGTAGTGTATTAGTGTAAACACCATTAATTTGTTGTACATAAAGCCTACACTACATTCTCATTTCTCAATGGTTTACCTAAATACTTTGCGGTCGGGGATACTTCAGTATAGTTTGCATGGTTAAGAAAGAGAATGCTTATTTTAGATGACACATGTGCACACACACAAAAACGCACGCACACACACACACACACAAACATACACACACACAAACACACACACACACGAACACACACACACACAATAGACACACACACACTCAAACATACACACACACACACACACACACACACAC